TCAGCTCCTTCCCTCTCTGTCTCATATGCTTGCATGCCCTTCTGCCTTTCACCATGGGATAACACAGAAGGAAGGCCCTTGCCAGAGGCTGGTGCCAAGCTCTTGGAATTCTCAGCTTCCAGAACCATGAGCCACATAAAATCCTGTTGTTTATAAATTACCTAGGCTGTGATGTTCTGTTGGAGCAGCAGAAGCAGATGAAGAGAGAGACCTTTCTCCCATGCCCTGCAGGGCCCAGCTTGGCTTGATAAAAGGGAGGCATGAGAAAGTATTTGGCAAACGATCAGATGAGTGACTAGGACTGCTTTATTACCAGAGAGAGGGACAGCTGAGCACCACATGGTGACAACATGACTACCTCCTATTTACTGAGCACATACTATGTGCCCAGTGCTCTACCAGGGCTAACAGGTACACGATCACATTTAACCTTTGCAACAACCCCACAAGGTAAGTACTACTATGATCTCCCTTACAAAGACAGAAACTGAGGCTCAGACAGAGCAGTGACTTGCTCAAGGCACAGAGCTAAAAGGGGGGTGCCAGGCCCAGGGCCCCAGGTCTCTTAAACGCCAATGGACACAGACAAACAATGGAGGCCCCACCAACAGCTCTGCCTTGAAGAGCAGAGAACAGGGCCAGGGCAGACTCCTCTAGGGAGTGCGATGAGAGGCTGCTTTCCTGGACACAGCAGTTTTACTCAGTCTTCATTCCACCCCTGGGGATGACTCTGTGACCCTGGGCAATCTCCATTCCCCTCTTCAGCCACCCCTGGTTCTCTGACCCTTGTCCCTGACCAAAGACATGTTATTATTCACATTCAGTACCTTTCCACCTCCTCCCCCCTTCCTGAATTCCCAGAGGAAATCTGAAAATAAAATCCGGGCTGCCTGGTAGAAAGGAGACTTGGGTTTTGTCAACACAATGTGCAGTAAAAATATCTCTCTTTTAAAAGAGAGAGAGAAAAATTTAAAGACTCAAGATCAGTAACACGTAATTATCATCTGGTTTGGGCGGAGAGCTCTAATAGTTTCCAGAAAAACACAAGCCATGAACAGGGAGTGCGCTTTCCAAGGCAAAAGGAGATGTGGACTCCAGCAGGCAGTGGCGCCATCTTGGAAGTCTGGCAGCCTTTGAGGCCCTTCCCAAGGAGAATAAAGTAGGCACAGCAGCTGCTGAATAAATAAACCCCTGTGAGTGGACACACCTGAAGGCAGAGGAGGTGTCTTTGCTCCTTCCTTCGGGGCACAATGGAACCTTGAAATGGCAGAGATAGCTAGGTCTCTGCCAATATCTGCTGTCCCCCATTTTAAAGTAATAGAGACCCAATTTTAGCTGAGCACATGGTGACCCACAATACGGACCATCTTTCCACGGCTCCCTTGCAGGTATGAGCCACAAGACTGACCAATGGGGTATTAGTGAAATGTGTGTGCAACTTGCAAGATGTATGCTTAAAGGGAGCTATCTGCCCTTCTTCCCTTTCCTACTTCCTGCTGGAAGGAATGCAGATGTGATGGCTGGAACTTGAGCAGCCGATTTAAAATGTAAGGCAAACCTGGGAATGAAGGCCAGAAATGGCAGGCTAACAAGGTAGAAGGGCCCCAGGTCACCACACTAACCCTGGAATGCCTGCAACTGTCACAAGAGAAAGACACAACTCTATTGTTTAAACCGGTGGTATCGAGGCTTAAAGATAATCCTTTGGGTCAAACTCAATTTAAAAATCTCTTAAGTTGAGAAGAGAAATAAAGGTAATCCAAGTCTTTAAAAGTAAGACTCCCACTCGGTGGGGTGACAAGCACACAGCAGATTCCTGGCTTCATCTCCAGGTGTGCCATGGAATGCAGAGAAAGGCGGACCCCCCCCCCCCCCCCCCCCCCCCCCCCCCCCCCCCCCCCCCCCCCCCCCCCCGTGAAACGTGTTTTTCTTTCTCTTTGTCTATTCTCCCTTTTGCTTGTTTGTTTTTCTGGTGCCTGCAGTGATACCGCGGAGATGCATCACACTTTCTAACTTATGCAAATTTTGTGAGCACACACTAAGAGTCAAAAATGCTTTTTCTTATTATCTCAGTTTTATAGTTAAAGAAACTGAGGCTCAGAGAGGTAACGCCACACAGCTGGGAAGGAGAACCCGCCTTGGAGAAGAGACGAGGCAGAGTCCTCGCCAGGAACTTCTCCAGGCGCTTGGTCTCTGGAGGCACTTTGGTCCCTGCCACAGACTCCTAAGAATGGCTCAGGCCCAGCGGGGCTCCACGTGACTTCAGGATGGGGCCACGGGCCCAGGAAGGGGTCACCCAAGCACAGTGCGGGTGGAGAGCAGCCATGAGAGGCACCAGCCTCCACCCCTGCAGCAGGAGCCATCTTCCTAGAAGCAAGGCTGACACCCAGGACCACGCCAGCACCCCTCAACCTGACCTGCAAGCCCACCAGCGAGCCGGGGTCAAGGCCTGAGCTCCAGAGGCCAGGGAGGGAAGGGGAGAAGCAAGCGTGGGCCCTGGAGGCGGAGGGAGAGACAGTTTCCCCATGGGGGAGAGAGGGGCTGGGTAAGACCAACGCTGGGAGGCCAGGCCGGGGCCACAAAGCGCTGCCCGGAGGCTTCTCAGAGAAACAGCTGGGATCTGACTCCTTCCAGGAAAGATGAGCGAAGGAACCACGGTGAGTGACTGGAGAGACAGAAGAGCAGAGGATGGGGCAGGACAAGGCAGTGGGAGGGGTGGGCGTGTCTTGGAGCATCAACCTGTTAAGCCTGGAGTCCACCCATGGGTGGGGGTGGGAGCTCCTCCTGCAGATCAGAGGGGACCCGAAACAAGGTGGGCCCAAGCCCTGGCCGCTGAGTGGCGTCACCTGGTGGCCAGTCCTTGTATGGCACCCCAGACACCCGAGGGGCTCAGCCTCACAGGGCTCACCCGGAGCCCTCGCAGAAGGCACCTTCGTCAGCTCCCTGGCACCCCACCAGCCCCCATTTAAAGAGCACTATTGTTATTTCATATGGTTTTCGCTTTTATATAAGAGGAGAAGGAAAGCATCCCTGCAGTTTGTTACTGACTTGCCCCAACACTCACTGGTTCTCCACCTGGAAGCCAAAAAAGTCACCTGGGAGCATAAAAATCGTGTCCTTGGGCCCAGCCCCAGAAGCTGGAGTTGATTAGTCTGGGACGGTCTGGCCGTTGAGATTCTTTTTTTCTTCAAACCCTTAACATGCAGGTGGGGCTGAGGACCTGGGCTCCAGGAGCTCGCTCTGCAAAGACAGATAGCGTCAAGACAAACCTCCAGACCCCCTTTCCATTTGTATTTGCTGCTAAGCCACTCCTTATGCATAAATGGGGTCTGCAAGGAGCGCGGACTCTTCAGCCCTCCCAGCCCTCTGCAGATGAGACACAGACCCCAAGTCCAGGGATTTTCAGGGCAGAGCTCTCAACCCCCATGGCTGCCGTGAGCTGGGAAGCCTTGTACACAGCATTCACCTCTGTGGGCCTCAGTTTCCCCTTCTGTGATGTGGAAGAGAACAGTGGCTCTGAATTTTTCTGGGGTCACTGGCCCTTTTGAGAATGTATGGGAGCAATGGTTGCTCTCCCAGACACATTCCTGTGGGGTGAGTACAGTCCCCATGACCACGGATGGCACTGGGGCTCCAGCCCGGTGGCTGGACTGGGTTAGCCCCTTAAGTCCTCACCTCAACCCCATGAGCTAGCTCCTTTGATTAAGCCGTTTTACACATGAGGAAACTGAGGCACAGAGAAGTTAAATAACTTGTGCAAGGTCACACAGCCAGTAAATGATGTAGCTGGGTTTGGACCCAAGCATGCTGGCCCCAGGCTTGCATGCTGAACCACTCAGCTGCCAGTTTTCAGATGCTGACCTCAGGCATCTGACTCTGGAATTAATAAGCAACTTCTATGGCAAAGCTGGGAACTCCATGCCATCTGTGTGCTAAGGGTGATTCACCTGTGACTTTGATGTTACAGATCAGGAAACACAATTGGGGAACAGATAGGACATGCTCCGCCATGGACTCTGTGTGGCCTTGGACAAGTGGTCTTGCCTTTCTGGCCTCAGTTTCCCCTCTGAGAATAAGAAAGAACTGGCCCCTATCCTGTAGATGGGTTGGAGGAGCACTTGAGATTGGAAAGCACATAGTAGGTGTTCATTAAAGAGGCTCTGTTGGATATGCACAAGGACAGTCTCAGGACACTCACCCACCTAAATGTTCTGCCCCTCGTGTGGGCCAGGGAAATAAACTGGGGAGGAGACATGAAAAACCACCAAGAGCTGGGGACGGCACCTCGGTCAGCACCTGTGAGTCCCCAAGAAGGAAGTACCACCGGACCCAGGCGGGGCAGGCATGGGGGCTCATGCCTGGAATCCCAGAACTGCGTGAGGCCAAGGCAGGCGGATCACTTGAGCCCAGGAGTTTGAGATCAGCCTGGGCAACATGACGAAACCCCATCTCTACAGAAAATACAAAAATTAGCTGGGATGGTGGTGTAGACCTGTGGTCCCAGCTACTAGGGAGGCTGAGAGGTGGGAGGATCACTGAAGCCCAGGAGGTCGAGGCTGCAGTGAGCCATGATGGCGCCACTGCACATCAGCCTGGGTGACAGAAACCCTGTTTCCAAAACAAAACACAGAAACCGGGTGTCCAGCTGCAGCTCCTGACATCGTCAGACCAATGGCACCCCCTGACATCACCCTTGCAGGTGGTACATGCTCTTTTTTTTTTTTTAATCCTCTGATGCTGATTCAGAAAATAAAAATGCAGGGGTCCAGGTGGGCTGCGCCTGGAGCTGGGAAGGTGAGGGAAGTCCTCTGCCCCAAAGGCCTCTTCAGAGGATGCTCTGCTCATGCCGAGTTTACAGCTTCTCCCTGTCAACATCAAGTCAGGGCCCCAACTCAGGCGGGCTCATCCATCCTGCTTCAATGTGGTTTCCTTGAAAAGCCACGCAAAGAAGTTTCATTTCCTTTTTCTTCAGAAACTTAATCTGGCCGGTCTGGCTAGGCGTCTACTTCCGGGGTGTAAACAGCTGATACCCGCCCAGTGGAAGCAGACATCCCTTCCCTTGTGAGTTCAGAACTGCACGAAGCACCAGGCTCGGCTGAGTGAGAACCCCAGCCTCGACCCAGCCCGTTCTCTCAAGGCCAGAGCGCAGGAGCCTGCACCGCCTGGCAAGTCTCTCCCGCTCCCTGCAGCTGTCGTCAGCATGGCCCAGGCTCCTGCTGATCCAGGCAAAGAAGGTACGGTACTTCCTCCTTCCACGGACCAGCGGTAGCTCCCAGGGTGAGATTTCCAGTTCTCTTTCTTTCTCTTTTGCTTGGCTCAGACCACGATGACAACAGCAGTATCCTAAAGCATAGCAGACCAGAACGGGTGCGGTGGCTCACGCCTATAATCCTTTGGGAGGCTCACGGCAGCTGGCTTTAATTGCACAATTCCAGGAATAAAATACAGGACAACTTTATTCTTTGGGAGGTCAAAGCAGGCGGATCACCTCAGGTCACGAGTTCGAGACCAGCCTGGCCAATATGATGAAACCCCATCTCTACTAAAAATACAGAAATTGGCCGGGAATGGTGGTGTGTGCCTGTAGTCCCACCTACGTGGGAGGCCGAGGGAGGTGGATCTCTTGAGCTCAGGTGTTTGAGACCAGCCTGGCTAACATGGTAAAACCCCTTCTCTACTAAAAATACAAAACTTAGCCAGGTGTGGTGGCACATGCCTGTGATCCCAGCCACTTGGGAGGCTGAGGCAGGAGAATTGCTTGAACCCAGGAGGCAGAAGTTGCAGTGAGCAGAAATGGTGCCAATGCACTCCAGCCTGGGCGACAGAGCGAGACTCCATCTCAAAAAAAAAAAAAAAAAAAAATAGAAGAAAGAGAAGGACCACATAGCCATCCTCCTTCGACAGCTGATATGCCCCAGGCACCTTGAAACATGCCTTGCAAGCATTTCTCTATGGCCCGCAGGGACAAGTGCAATGTCATCCCCATTTCATAGATAACTGAGGCGCTGGGAGGTGAAATGACCCTCTCGGGGTATCGCAGCTGGCAGGCACCGGTGCCAGCGTCAGAACGCCCATCCCAGTTGAGAGCAAAGCAGTTTGCTCTGATAAGATACATGTGTGCCTTTGTTCCTTCTTGCTGCATTCTTTCCTCAGCTAACATTTTGCTCGTTTTATTCCTGGAAGAAGTTGCAGGGAAAGCCAATAGTGTACCCAGCCACTGCAGCTCTCTCGGTGTTCTCTAAGCGCTGTGGACGGTAGACGAAATGTGGTTTTGCGGCTTTGGGGGTGGGTTTGGTTTCTTTTTAACCCTCACCACAATCTTTGAAGTAGTTACTTTCGTCTCCATTTCACAAGGGGGAACCTGGAGTCGGGAGATGTCACATAGCTGATAGTTGGCAGAGCCAGGAGCTCAAACTCCGGAAATCAGCCATCAGAATTTTTTTAAAAAACCAACCCGAAGTGTGCCCCGGAGGGCTGCTGCCAGGGCGTGGCCCAGGAGCCGGGCTGGCTGCTGAGTTCCGGTGGCGCTTCCTCCGTAGGACACATGCAGGCAGACGTTCTGGACTCAGCCCTCGCTGGCTTTCCTTGTTTTCCTCCCAGTTGACTTTCCTTTTATGACCGAATTGCTCTAGTTTACAGTGCCCCATTTTCAGACAAAGTAGCCTGGGGCTCTGCGGCCAACCCCTCCCAGCACCCAGGCTTGTTCTGGATCCACAGCTCTGACCCCCATCCCCTCTGGGATCCCTGGAGCAGAGGCAGTGGCTCCCTGGGGTGAGCCTTCCAGAATCCAAACTCTGCTAGACCAGGCGAAGTCAGGTGTGAAGTCAGGCGCATGGGTGGTAGGGGGGCTGCTGGGGGAGTTTGGTGGGCGCAGGAGTGGGAGCTCCCTGGTATTCTCATTGCTCTTCACCTGCACACAGCCATTCTTCCCTCCACTGCCAGTGCTGTGACCAAGGAGCCCAGCCCCGGGCAAACCTTGAGCAGGAAAACCCTCTGAACAGGAAAGAAAGCCCATATGGCAAAGGACTGAGTCACTGTCTGGGAAGGGGACCCAGGTCTTTCCAAGAAGGGCTTGGACTCCCATGCACTGCCCTTGGATTCCTCGAAGCAGAAGCTTCCTGGTAACAGATGGGGCCCCGCCCACAGTGGCCCTCCCAGGCTGCTGGCTGCCAGGTGCTGCCCGTACCCTGTGTCTGCCCCAGTCTCATTGCCTGGCAGAGCAGCTGGCTTTGATTGTTTAATTACTGTGTGAGCTAATGGTTTTTATTGTTGAGAGCTGCCCCAAGAGGAGCAGGGGCCATTTGGAGAATTCCTCCTTGAATTTTTTGGGGTCCTGCTTCGGGCTCATTAAACTCAGGCCAGGAAACAGAAGCACATGCCAACTGGCCAGGGAGGAGCTTCTTGGGCCCTGCCCAGGGTCTGTTGGGTAAGTGTCTGTCCCTGGAGACAGACGCTCACTCATTCAATCCCTTTTCTTTCCAGAGATGGGGTCTTGCTCTGCTGCCCAGGCTGGAGTGCAGAGCGCATTCGTAGCTCACTGCAGCCACAAACTCCTAGGTTCAAGCGATCCTTCCACTTCTGCCTCTTGAGCATCTGGGACTACAGGTGCGTGCCATCAAACCTACCTGAATTTTTTCTTTTTTTTTTTTTTTTGTAGAGAGGGGGTCTCACTATGTTACCCAGGCTGGTCTGGAACTCCTGGCCTCAAGGGATCCTTCCATCTCAGCCTCCTGACATGCTAGGATTACAAGTGTGAGCCACCACTCATCGTCCATTCACTCATTCATTCACCCAGTCACTCAGGCATTCAACCACCATTTCCCGAGCACCTACTATGTGCCCAGCCCTGTGCTAGATGCTGAAGGTACAACAGTGAGCCATGCAAGCATAGCAGGGGACACTAGGGGATGTTCTGCAGGGGACCCACACACAAGCAGCATTCCAGCCACTCTGGGGCATGGGGACTGGCTTCCCCAAAGGAGTGGCATCTGAGGAGACCTGGACGTTGTGTAGACATCAGACAGGTTGGGGTATGAGGGAAAGGTGTTCCTGACAGCAGGAATAGCGTATGCAAAGGCCCTGGGGTGAGCGGGGCCGAAGGAAGCACAGACAAGTCAGTACTTGGAGGGAAGTTGGGGGTGGGTGCAGGCCAAGCTGGGTGGTTGGCAGTGCCAGACCTGGAGGGCACCCAAATGGAGCTCGTGGGCCAATGGGGAGCCTATCACTGCACCTAGGAGATGGTGGCCAGGAAGAGGGTGGAGGTGGCAGAAAAGAGAGGAGTGGGGGATTCCAGAGAATCCAGGAATGGCATTTCCAGAACTCCATGACTGGGCATTGGGGGAAAGGTCTGTTTCTGATGTCTGTTCAGTTTCTGGCTTGGATGAATAGTGACGCAGCGGATGGAGAGCCAAGAGGAGGGGATTCCCAGGGAGGGTGGTGTTGGGCATCCTGTACACCCAGGCAGGCGTCCCAGGCAGGACTTGCCTTTGTGCTCCAGAGTCCCCCTGCCTCCCTCTGGCTCCATTCTTCTGCCCTCTACTCCCCTCTGCCCTGAGAACACCTGAGAACTGAGGGACCCCACTGCCCTCTGGAGCCCCCACCCGGGGAGGGGACAGGCAAGGTGGTACCTCCTCTGGCTGCTAGGATGACAGGCTGCCCAACCAAGGCCGTTTTGATCAGCCTGAGTGTCTCTCTCTTTGGGGGTGGGGGAGCAGCTGCTCTGCAGCTCTTAGGGGGAATCTGCTGGGGTCTTTGCCCTTTTCCTCTGCCCTGGACCCCTCTCAAGAAGGGGCCTCACATGCCTCCTGGAGCCTCCAGCCTGGTCTCAACTGCGGGGACCCGAGAGGCTCAGTTCCTCTCTCTGTCCCCCACTTGCTCCCCCAGGCCACCTTGAACAGAGGATCCTGCGGGTGCTGGCGGAGGCTGGCACTCCAGTGAAGCTTGCCCAGCTGGTGAAGGAATGCCAAGTGCCCAAGAAGGAGCTCAACCAAGTCCTCTACCGAATGAAAACGGAGCTGAAAGTCTCCCTCACAGCCCCTGCCACCTGGCGCTTGGGTGTGGCTACTCCTGGTGGTGAGGATCCTGCAGAGCTGGCCGTCCCCAGTCCTGGTAACTGCCACCCGGGGGGCGGGTCTGATACAGCAGGGACCATCCTGGCAATGGATAAGTGCAGCTTTGAGCCTGGGTTTGAATCTGAGCTCTGCCACGTGGGAGCTCCCGGGTTCCCTCTCTGTGCCTTGGTTTCTTTTTCTGGTTGGGGGAGCTCACAGCGAGACTGCGTGGTCGGGGTTGCTGAGAGGAGCCACTGCATCAGGCTCAGCCCAGCCCCGCACACAGGAAGTGCTGGGGAGAGCACTAACGATTATCACAGAAAATCATCACAATGGAAACAGCCAGAACGCGGTGGTCCTAATCACAGAACGCACGCGGTTCCACCAGCCCCTTTTTCTAGCTTTAAGCCCACAGCCAGGATGAGCTGCCATTTATGATGCACTTAACATCAGCAGGGCCCTGTCTCGGGGTTCACCCAGCCCTCACACAACCCCAGGAGGCAAAGGAGGCTGAGCTCCAGGGACGTTTATCAGCAGGAAGCCGCACACCTGCCAGGGCACAGGCAGGATTTGAAGTCAAGTGTGTTTAACTCTGGAGTTTGAGTTTGTAATTCCTGGGCTTGCACCTCACCCCTAGGGAGCTGCTCACCTTTGTGGGGTGGGGGCCTGGTGCTGTCTTCTGTCCCCCACCCCTCTGACCTATCTTTCTTTCTCCAGCCAAGAGGCCCCTGCAAGACACAGCTACAATTCCAGAGAGCCCTGGGCCTCAGTTCAGCCAACGAGGTAAGCTTCTGCATGTCCCTTCAGCTCCTGGGACAGGGGAGCCCACTCTCCAGGACTCCCAAGCCCTCCCCGAGGGTACAAGATCTCACCAGGGTTCAGGGGCCCGGTCCCACCCACCAGGCGGCTCCCACACAGTGTTCAGAGCCAAGGTCCAGCCTTCACAGGAGAATCTCCACAGGAGAATCTGAATGGTTGAGCAGTGATTTCTCCAGTCAGTAAACAGCTGGTCCACACCGTGCACCTGCCACGTGCCAGGCACAGCACAGCACTCTGCACATTCCCCACCCTCAGAGCACCTCTGTGGTGCATCATCATTACCCCATTATCATGATACCCATTTTACAGATGAGGAAACCAGGCCTGGAGGGGCTGGGTTGGGGTCACACAGCTAGGAAGCAGTGGGGCAGATGCAAGCCCTAGGACTCCTCCCTAACCACCTGGCAATCCTGCCTCCCAGAGAAAGAAATCTACAGGTTTCTCAAAGACAATGGTCCCCAAAGGGCTCTGTGCATCGCCCAAGGGCTGAAAATGAGGACAGCAAAAGATGTGAACCGAGACTTGTACAGGATGAAGAGCAGGCACCTTCTGGACTTGGATGAGCAATCCAAAACATGGAGGATTTACCGCCCAGGTAGGCCCCCACCCCCGAAGCTTCTGGAAGTCCTACTGGCAGTTCACAGTAAGGGCTTCTAGGAGGAAGTGGTGTGCCGGCGGGATTAACCAGGGATGGCTTCCTGGAGGTGCGGCCCAAGGATTACTGTTGCAGAAGGCCATCAGATGGGACGGAGGTGCCCGCTCCCAGTGTTCTCAGCTCTGGGGTGCAGGGGTCAGTCTGAGTTTGCGAAGTTTTCTTTGAGCGCTTTGTCCAGGTCGGGGTTTTAAATTTGGCAGAAGAGAAGGCAAGACTAGGATCAGACCCCTACCAAGTGGAGCCCCAGGGCCGGCTTCTCCATGAGATCCAGTAGGCGCAGGGCCAAGGGCCCACGGCACTGTTAGGGTCCTTGAAAATCTTTCATTTCAATTTCATTTAAAATCAGAAGAAATGAATACTATAATAACGAATATCTAAAAATGAGCCAGGTGCAGTGGCTCATGCCTGTAATCCTAGCGCTTTGGGAGGCTGAGGTGGGCAGATCACCTGAGGTCAGGAGTTTAAGACCAGCCTGGCCAACATGGTAGACCCCCGTCTCTACTAAAAAATCAAAAATTAGCCGGACATGGTGGTGCACACCTGTAATCCCAGCTACTTGGGAGGCTGAGGTAGGAGAACTGCTTGAACCTGGGAGGCAGAGGTTGTGGTGAGCTGAGATCGCACCACTGCACTCCAGCCTGGACAACAAAAGCGAGACTCTGTCTCAAAAAGAAAGGGTCATCTTTGCCATACAATATAATTTCAATATTTGCATATAGGGGAAGGGCTCACAAAGGCACAGGAGCTGAGAGCCCAGAGGGTGGTGATGGGCCCCCCGAAGTCCAGGGAGATGCCTGCCTTGGCCCCTGCAGGGCGGACTCTGCTGCTCACGGCGGGTGCCCCAGGGGGTCTCAGCATCCTAGAGCTGCTGTGAGGAAGGAATAGTATGTGACAGCCGTCAGATTTTAATCATTGACAAATTCAAATACTTAAAATCCCATGGGAACCAAACACACCCCATCTGGTCCCATGGGCCACTACTCAAGGGAGAAGAGCAGCAGTGCAGGTGCCCAGGGGTCCAGGCTGTGGCTGCCCCCTGGGAGAGCAGTGTGGGCCCCTGCAGTCCTCCCAGCCAGTAATCATGGAGGCCCAGCCATGGGGGCAGCAAAGGACACAGGTAGGTGACTCGCAGTGGCGATTTCTAAGCGAGGCTCCCTCTGAGATACCTGTGGTGTCTGTTAAACACCCGGCTCTGGGTCCCCACTTGGTCCTACTGACCTGGAACCCTAGGGTGTTTTCACAAGCTCCCAGGAGAATTTGGTGCTGCCCACTGGTGTTGGCAACCCTTGACCCATAGAGAGGAGCGAAGGTTTAGAGTTGAATATTGTTTTGCAGAAGATTCTGGAGGAACAGCAGAGTCTACCTCAATTATTTACCAGCACAATCCAATCAATGTGATCTGCCAAAATGGACCGAACAGCCAGATTTCCATTGCACGCTCAGACGCCATCCAGATCGGACACGGGAACACCATGACATGGCATGCAGTCTCCAGGGAGGACAGTGAGTCACCCGAGAGGGCCCGGGGAGGGAACCTCAACCTCAAGGGGAGCTACCTGGTCCACTGGGCGGGGGCCAAGGGTGGGGCATTCAGCCCTCAGGGGGAAAGGGGAGCGTCCACATTATGGCCATCCTGAGAATGAGGGCTCCTGGATCAAAGTTCTCCTGATTTCCCTGTACTCTGATGCCTTCGACCTCAGTTTCTTATTTTTATTTTTTAATAAAATCTTAAAATTAAGATGGGGTCTCTCTGTGTTGCACTTGACCTTATGCCTTCAATGGGGTCCAGTGTTTCTCCATGAGAAACAACTCAATTACCTCTCCCCCCGAAGAATGCCGCAGGGAGGTTATTGTAGAATGGTATTTGTTCTGAGACACGCTACTTTTCCCCACATTTGAACAGGCTGGAAACTGGGGTGGATCTCCCCACCCGTGGCATCCTACTTTGGATGAAATGCGATGTTGCTCTCTGCACAGTAACCCCATGCCGGACACTGTGGCAAGAGGGGACAGAGCCACCTATCAGTCCGGCCTTTTCACCTGTGAGCGAGAGCATCAGCCCCAAAGTCAGGACACTCCCTGTAACGTTGGGAGAACCTTTCCTCACTGTGAGCCTCAGTCTCCCCAATTGTGAAATGAGGAACTTTGTTCTAGAATCTAGATCATAGTTTCTCCAGCTTTACTCCTCTGAGCCCCACCTTCCCACTTCTGGCCATACCAGTGTCTGATTACTTAATTAACGTTGTTGAGTAGTGCGCCTTTTAAAAAGTTTATTTTTAAAACAGTATTATTTTAGGTTAAAACCATGAAAATCACCAAAAAAATACATGTGATTCCTGGCAGTTAAAACGCTGCAGGAGGCTCTGAGCCTTTGGTGTCAGCATCAAAGGAGACTTTGTCCACATGAAGGCTGGAGAATGACTGGGAACCATGGAGGAGCTCACTGTTTGGGTTTGTGAGTCCTTGCAACACCCAGGCACCAGCGCCAGTCCTGAGAACCCAGGGAGCCCCAGAATGAGCTGTTCTGCCAGGTCCTCCTGCTCTCTAAGTCAGAGCCTGAAGTCTTTGCCCCAGTTTGATGGTGTCCAGGAAAAATTCAGAAGCCAGGACCGTGTGTGGTGGTGAGGGGAGGTAAGAAGCCTGCAGTAATCTCCAGTGAGGCGGTTCTGCTGTCCCCTGCCAGGTTCCACGGGTCCCTGCCACCTCCCTCCAATGGCACCAGGTGATTCCTCAATTCAGGGGACCCTGGTTGATGCCTGGGGGCCCCAGGACATCCACATGGAGCGGTCCATGCTCAGACGAGTGCAGCTGGGACACAGCAATGAGATGCGGCTTCGCGGCGTTCCGTCCGAGGGCCCAGCCCACAGGCCCCCTGGCAGCCCCCCAGGTAAGTGGGGATCTAGAGGCCAGACACATCCCTGCCACCCCTTGGTTCCCACTAGAAGGAACCGGAGCCAGAGTCTTTGTGGGGAGAGAGGCATGATGGGAAATTCCTTGTCACCAGGCAGCTGAACCAGAATATAGCAGGTGGGGCTTTTAAAGCTAGCACTCTAGGCTGGGTACGGTGACTCACGCCTGCAATCCTAGCACTTTGGGAGGCTGAGGTGGGTGGATCACCTGAGGTCAGGAGTTCAAGACAAGCCTGACTAATATGGTGAAACCCTGTCTCTACTTAAAAAAAAAAGAAATAGGTGTGGTGGCATACCCCTGTAGTCCCAGCTACTCAGGAGGTTGAGGCAGGAGAATCGCTTGAACCCAGGAGGCGAATGTTGCAGTGAACCGAGTCTACACCACTGCACTCCAGCCTGGGTGACAGAGTGAGACGCTGTCTCAAAAAATAAAAATAAATAACATAAAGCTAGCACTCTAGGTCCCCATCCCCTACAACCCACTGCAGGAAGGAAACCTCAGTTTCCTTATCTATAAAATGGCTGTGACCTCCCCAGAGAAGCAGAGGCTGGGCCAGCTGGAGCAGGGGCAGAAGTGATGGTTTGAGACTGGAATGGCATCTAGGGAGGATGGAAGACAGGAGCCCTACTAGGTGCTGTGGCTGCAGTGACCAGAAGTCCCCGGGCGGAGGCTTCCCCTACACTAGGAATGCAGAGATGGGCTGGGGGAGAAGAACCAGCAGATAAGCCAGAGAGGGAGGAGGAATGCAGAGGCCCCGGGGGAGGAGTTTCCAGAGAGCAGCCAGGCCAGCGAGGCCAGGGAAGCATCTGTAGGGTTCAGTGAGAGGGGTCATGGTAACCTTGTGTGGATGGTTTCTGGGAGTGAGAGAGCAGAGGGGTCTGGGAAGTGGGAGGAGGCGAGATGCAGTGTAGATGATTCTTCTGGGTGGGAAAGAGCAAGGTCAGATGGCGGGGGCTGGGGCGAGGCCGGGAACCCCCATAAGATTTCCACCAAAAGTCGGGGCCAGTGTTCCAGTGCAGTGGGAAGCAGGCAGCAGAGGAGGGAGGAGCTGAACCCCAGAAGACACTGACGTCCAGATCAGCCGGGCGGGATCAGCGGGGAAGACACACCAGCTGGCAGAGAGACACGTCCAGGCATCCCGACAGCAGTGCAGAGGTGTGGCAGTGGGGCGGCCAGGCGCAGGCTGTGCGCCTGGGGTGATGTGGGCCGCTGGTGGGAGGTCTGGGGAGGAGCGTGAGCCAGCCTGGGGTCAGGGCTCTGGGGCCGCTGTCCAGCTGCTCCAGGTCCTGACCTCTCTCCCTTTCACCCACAGTCTCTGCCACTGCTGCCAGCCCAGAAGCTTTGTTTGAAGAAAGAATGCCCAATCCAGGAACTCACCCCAAGGAAGTCGCCGCCCAGAGAATCCACATAAAATCGTGCTTTCTTGAGGACGCCACCATCGGCAACAGCAACAAAATGTCTGTCAGCCCCGGGGCAGCTGACCCAGGAGGAGCTGCAGGGTCTGGAGACAGGGAGCCAGGAGAGGATGCAGGTGAGCTGGAGGGCAGAGTGGACCCCTGCGTGTCCTCTCTTTCTCCCCACATTCCATTCGTTCATTCATTTATTCTCATCAATCACTCGCTGATCTCTCGTTTCCCGGAGTCAGGAGGCAGTGCCCGCCCATGGCAAAGAGCAGCGGCTCTGGAGTCAGAGCTTCCAGGCTCCGTCCCTTCAGTGGAGAGACCCACCCAAGACACTTCACCCGAGATCGTCTGTCTCCTTAGCTGTAAAGTGGGGTGGGAAGAATAGCCTGAAGCAACTCCTAAGTGGCTGTGAGGAAGCCGGGGCTCAGCCCAGCCCGCATTCTGGAGATAGGAGTGTTACTGTCTCATCATTGCTGTTGTGATTGTTTGGGGCCCCGGAGAGGTGCTGGGTTGCCACGCAAAGGAGGCTTTGCATCAGGGCACAGGCCGACCTGCCGCAGTGGAGATGCCTCACATGGTGGCCCCCGCTTGCTCGAAGCCCAGGCTTCATGTCCGGGTGACGGGAGCAGGGTGGGGTTTCTTTTACCTCAGTGCTGAGTCGTCCCTGGGGCTCCGTCTTCATCTGTGGGGTTGAACTTGGCACCAGCAAGGAGAGGGCCGAGAGGGTAGAGAGCCGGCTGCCATCTGTGACCAAGCCCACCTACGCATCTGTGCTGTTCCGAGGGCCTGCACTTAGCCACGGGGGACTGGGAAGTGCTGCCCGTGTCAAGGCAGCCTCAGCCCAGCAGAGACTCAGGGGAGGGGATCCGCTGCCCACAGGAAGAGGGGAGAGGGGGAAATCAGCACAGTTTACAGCCCAGCCACAGTTCTGTCCTTGGGGGCTGCAGAGGCTGGTGGCAGAGCCTGGGGATCCCAACTCAGGGCCTGGGGTCGGGGCAGCTGGAAATTCAGACAGGGCCGGTGCAAGGTGGGGACGGCCAGGACGGGGGTACCTGGTGGGCAGAACAGTGTGGACAATGGCCTGGAGGTGAGGACATGATGGTGTGGGGACCCGCATGGGTTTGAGGGTGACCTGAGCGTGGGGAGCTGAGCCAGGGCCTAGCTCCGGACTGCAGTCAATACTAAGGCAGTTGGGAGCCATGGAGGGCCTTGAGCAGGAGGGGTGCAGGATGAGATTTTTGCCTCCCATTTAAAGAAAGAATTAGGAGGATTTCAGCTCCTACCCTTTTGGGATTTGGAATAAGGGATCACACCCAATCCCACCAGTGGCTGGAAAACATGGATTAGCTGAATCTGGAGGACTGGCCGGCATCCACCCACAGTGCCTAAATGTTCAGGGCACGTATGTCCTGGAAGTCCAGAGGGTCTCTTCATCCCAAGGCGCACCCTTGCTGTCCCAGCACACTGAGGAGAACCTGGCCCACATGTCTTCAGACTCTCCCTCCAGGACCCCTGGGAGTCCTATGTGCATGTGACAGCTGTGGAGCGGGGGCCGGGAGCACATTCATCAGGACCGAAGCAATGAGCACCTAGGAGCATGGACTCCCCTCCAGCAGCAAAGGGAGTCTCAGAAAGCTGCAAGGCCACTGGGGACCCCCAGGAGGGTGTGTGCCACTGGCCCGCCATCCCCCAACCAGCCTGCCACCCGCCATCGGCTTAGAACCCCACAGCACAAGAGGTCCGTAGAGCCCTATGGGTCTCAAGCCAGACCAGTGAAGACTCCTCTTTCTGGAAAGAACACTGTGTTTTTAAAAAATGGCCACACTCCCACATTTGTCCTGCAACATCCTGACATTCTTCCCTGAGGTTCCAGCAGAGAAGTTGATGGCGTCTTTGTCCCTTGCCCTGACCTGCCCACCTCTCTTTAACCCCAAGAAACAGCTACAGGCATAGCTCAGAGATATTATGGGTGAATTCCAGAGCACCCCAATAAAGCAAGTCGTGCAGATTTTTTATTTACTAGTGCATATATAAGTTATATTCACCTGATGCTGTAGCCTATTAGGTGTGCAATCAATCACATTATATCTAAAAAATGATGTACATGCCTGAATTTTAAAATACTTTATTGCTAAAAATGCTAACCATCATCTGAGCCTTCTGCAAATCTAATCTCTTCCCTGGTGGGGGGTCTTGCCTCGATGTTGATGGCTGTTGACAGATCAGGGGGGCGTTTGCTGAAGGTTGAGGCAGCTGTGGCAATTTCTCAGAATAAGGCAACAATGAAGCTTGCGGCAGCAGCTGACCATTCCTTTCCTGAAAGCTTGCTCCGTGGCACGCGATGCTGCTTCACGGCGTTTTACTCACACTGGAACTTCTTTCAAAATTGGAACCCAGCCTCTGTAGCCGTGCTGCTGCTGTACAGCCAGGTTTATATAAGTCTTAATCCTTTGTTGCCATTTCAACAATGTTCGCAGCATCTTCAGCAGGAATAGATTCCACCTCAAGAAGCCACTTTCTTTGCTCATCCATAAGGAGCAACTCATCTGTTCAAGTTCTCTCATGAGTCAGCGGCAGCTCAGACCTGTCTTCCTATTCCACTCCTAATTCCAGTTTTCCTGCCATTTCCACCAGACCTGCAGTTGCTGCCTTCACCGAAGCCTTGAACACCTCGAAGCCATTCATGAAAGTTGGAATCACCTTCTTCCAGACTCCTATTAATGTTGATATTTTGACCTCCTCCCATGAATCACAAATGTTCTTAAGGGCATTTAGACTGGTGATTTTTTCCAGAAGATTTTCAATTTGCTCTGCACAGATCCATCTGAGGAATCACTGTATAGCATTTATACCCTTAGAAAATGCATGTATTGAAGAAGAAGAAGAAGTGAACGTTGAAGTCACTCCTTAATCCATAGGCTGCAGAATGGACGCTGTGCTCGCAGGCATGAAAACAGCATTCGTTCTTTTGTACGTCTCCATCAAAGCCCTTGGATGAACAGGTGCATTGTCAATGAGAAGTAAAAAACAAATATTTTTTTTTGGACCTCAACCCAGGATCCTGAACACCCAGCTCCTATGGTATGGACAATGAGCAGTAAAATGTTAAAAGGAATATTTTTTTCTGAGCAGTAAGTCTCAATGCTAGGCTTAAAATATTCAGTAAACCATGCTATAAACAGATGTGCTGTCATCTAGCTTTGCTGTTTCATTCACAGAACACAGAGTAGATTTAGCATCATTCTTAAGAGCTCTAGAATTTCCAAAATGGTAAATGAGGGTATGCTGCAGCTTAAAGTCACCAGCTACATTATCCCCAAGGGAGCCTGTCCCCTTTGAAGCTTTGAAGTCAGGCATTGACATCGCCTCTCTCTCGTGCTTTGGAAAGTTCTAGATGGCACCTTTTTTCTTTTTTTTTTTTTTTTTTT